CACACTGAACACCTGACAGGTAAAAAATACACAGTAAAATCAGGAAATTAATACCTATAGAGTTCATTTGAACACTCTAAAACTGTGTATGTATGTATGCATGTGTATATATATATATATATATATATATATATATATATATATATATATATATATATATATATATATATGGTAACCACTCACAGTGTTAATTAAACACTTTTAAAAAACCAACAGTGTCAAAACATTAACACTAAAAGAGTCAAATATTAACGGCAATGCAGATTCAAGAGTGTTTAAATTCTACACTGTTCTGAAATTGACCTAACAATAAAACAGTAAAATTGACATTTTTTACCTCGTCCCAACAGGAACAAAACACCAACAGTGCATGATTACATGCTGTTATGTCTTGGCAATCAAAAAATGTGATTATAATGGAAGTCAATGGACACGAACATAACGAAAAGGTCGTCAATTTGAACAGTACACAATGGCTGTTCCTTGATATCTAAGAAATTCTGTGGGAACCCTGATTTACAGAAAACACTCATACTGACAGAGAGGTCGGCTGGTTGGCCACGGATCCCAAACAGGCTGGAAACCCTGCGGCCGATGCCTGACAGCATCCCCTGACCCTGCTGGACAGGCCTGTGATGCAGTTTCCCAGAGGAATCTGCAGAGAGCCGGAGCAGGTGACCACGGTACGAGGACACGATGAAACTCCCACCCTGAATGAAGATGAAAAATTCATACAAAAGCCCTTTTTCCATCCTTTAAAGTTCAGTTAAGCATATATACATCACATGAATAATTACATATTTAAGCACAATAATGGTCAATGGTTTGGAATAAAAAAAAGTTTTAAAAATATTACACTGTGTGTGTGTGTGTGTGTATATATATATATATATATATATATATATATATATATATATATATATATATATATATATATATATATATATATATATATATATATATATATATAAATCTTATTTTAACTTCAGCTGTTTTTTGTAACCATACAAAAAAAAAAAAAACAGTAGAGAAGTAAATGTTGTCATTTGAGTGTATTACCTACTGGTCAATCAAATGGGTTAGACCTGAAAGTTAGACCTGTTTTTAAAGTATACACACGTCTCAGGATTTCACAAATATCATGTACCAGAACTTTTTGTTAGATCAGAATGAACTACTGAAATAATTGTAATTTATTTATTTTCAAGATGTGGTTTGCATATATCTTACATTACATAAATTAATTTTCATAATTAAATTATATAATGTATTAATTATTATAATGAAATGCATGTTGAAATGTTTATTTTGAAATGTAATGTATTCCTGTGATGACAAAGCACCCATGAAATGTGTATTTAGTGCTAAATTATTATTTATTTCTGCTTCTCAATCACCACTGCTTAAATATAATCAATATTAATATAGTTTTTTTTTAATTAAATTAAGATTCCTTTGATTTAAGGAATAGAAAATGTCAAATAAACAGCATTATTTTAAAAACCTTTAAGACTTCTTTATGCCGCAGTGACTTTTGATCAATTTGATGTGTCCTTAACAAATAAAAATACTATTTTAAAAATTGGCACATCAGATCAATTACATCACATCATTTTGGTTAAGTCAGATTTCATTTAACTCATTTAGTTTGTGTTTAATGCCATGGCAGCTTCTATGGCTATTTTCATGGCGATAAAATGCATGTTGCAGCTAGATTATAACATTTTTACAATTAATTTTTTGCTAAAAACCATAAATCAGTATTTTAAAAAGTATCTTCAAAAAAGTGAACAAAATATCAATTAAATTCCCCACAGAATAAATCCGAGACACGCTTCCTAGTTAAAGTGCATTAGCAAAGAGAAAATGTCTGGTTTTTACCTTAACAGCGGCCACATAGTTGGACAAGTGTCCGCTCAGGTCCAGAGAGATCTCAGTGTAAGAGCCCTCATGCGCCAGACTGGGCCAGAAGCGGACCAGACCATCAGGAGACACAGCCAAAACACTGATGGACTGTGTGAGAAAGAGAGAGACTTTTCATTTTACTTTTAACAATCTCTTTATTTAGTTGTCTGATCACATTAAAAATAGCGCTTTCCAAAAATTAAATGTTTAACACTTTGGTTCCTGTTGCAGTATTGACATTTTGAGGCTCGTTCTCCTTTAAGTAAATGCCTGTGAGTCCAATACACCACCTTGTGGAAACAACCTCATCATGTCTTGAGTTGAAAAATGTTTGATTTTCTTCCTTCCACTGGCTAAACATATCAAAACATTTATTTTCTGAGCACTGATCCCAATCTGCTTGCCATTTGTTAAGAATATAGCCTTTTATTGGTCTTTTTTTGTAATCTGCTGGACTGTGAGAAGCACATTTGCATTGATGTTTGCAGGGTTGAAATCTCCTCTGATGCTCATGTGCAGATGCAGGAGCTCACCTGAATGGGAGCCAGATCGAGCGGCCCGGAGGAACTGATGGAGACCAGATCAGCACTGTATGCAAACTCACTGGACGGCAGCTGCAGGTCCTTACACACCGACAGCTGAACGGCAAAATAAAACAGCATGATGTTTGCAGAACAACACACAAAAGGTAATTATATACTGCATCCCAATTCACCTACTTATACTAAGTCCTAAAAATATGTACTTTATTGTGAAGAAAAAGTACATACAGTCGAAGTCAGAATTAGCCCCCCTTAATATTTCTTCCCCAATTTTTGTTTAACAGAAAGAAGTTTTTCAACACATTTCTAAACATGATAGTTTTAATAACTCATTTCTAATAACTGATTTATTTTATCTTTGCCATGATGACAGTAAATTATATTTGGCTAGATATTTTTAAGATACTAGTATTCAGCTTACAGTGACATTAAATGGCTTAACTAGGTTAGTTTGGCGAGTTAGGGTTATTAGGCAAGTTATTATATAACGAGGGTTTGTTCTGTAGACAATCAAACACAAATATTGCTAAGGGGGCTTATAATATAGTCCTTAAAATGGGTTTAAAAAACTTTTAAAACTGCTTTTATTCTAGCCAAAATAAAACAAATCAGACTTTCTCCAGAAGAAAAAAATATTATTGGACATTTGTCTCTTTTCTGACCTTCGCCACAGACGTCTGAGACACTTTCCAGACGATCAGCCGTTCTCCACAAACCATCCAAGCCCAACCAGATGCCTCCACCTTCACTGAGATCTGATCGTCCACTGCAGGAAACAAACATTTAGAGGACCTCAAATCATTGGATCGACTCTAAAACACAGTCGAAATCTATAAAAACAAAGAGTGTCACCATCAGCCATGGTCAGCGCCTCCATGACTTTAACAGGTAGAGATGATCCGAAAGTCTGGACATCAAAATTATAAGATTCGACGACAGCATGACTCTGAACTCGCGTGGGAGTAGATCTAGAAGAGAGAAAACCAATTGATATATACAAATTTAGCAAAGTAATACAAATAAAAATGTATTTTGGAATAATTATGCAAGTTATGTTCTATAAGTTATCCTGAATGATGAATATTGTGAAAAGCACTACACAAAAAACAATCATAAATGTGTAATATATATATATATATATATATATATATATATATATATATATATATATATATATATATATATATATATATATATATATATATATATATTAATGACGGCCTCAGTTTCTTTCAGTTTACTAGGTATTTAAATTATTTAAATATTAATAATTGTTGTTTAAAGGGCGTTTTTCTTCTGATTTTAAATGTCAATTGATCAGAATAAGAAATGTTTTCATTTGTTTGTTTAAAAATATCAGGGTTATTGCAATTAAATATTGATATATTAACTGTTCAGAATTTAAAACATTGTATTTTGTGGTCTAAACATTAATATTAACATAAAAAATATGCCACTTTTTTGTAATTTTGCACAGCAAAACTGTAGTTAAATTACTTAATGTACATAAATGACATTTTACCCAAGACATAACAATAATTCATAAATAAGAATATTCAGAGATAATAATAAAAATTGCCAAGTAGTGACAGTTGTTTTTATTCTGTATGTATGTATGTATACACACACACACACACACACACACACACACACACACACACACACACACACACAGAGATATAGATAGATATCAGACAGACAGTATATTATTATTGCTACAGTTATTTATATTAATACAATAAAATGAATATTACATGTAATATATGTATAAAAATATGAAGTGTAATTGATTTAAGATTAAATTTACTGGACAAGACGTTAATAACACTTAATTTTGATACAATAATTTTTCAGTATGTATATATATATATATATATATATCATCATTAGGATGTACATCTAAAACACCAGCATGTCAGTGTTAATTCAGAGTGTTTACTGTGTTTTTACCGTGCTGTCACAGCGGAGCGGCGTGGAGAAAACAGCAGTCCGGGCTGAACTGCGCTCACACTCCTCCGTCCGCCGGTCCGGGGCGCCTGTCTGCGGCCTGAGCCCGGTGTGCCGCGGGGAGAAAACATACCCGGTCCACAGTCCGTTTACAACCAGCAGAAAGCGTTCAGAAGCGACGAAATGCGATACAAAATCGGGAAAAGCCGTTTACCGCGCGCTCACTGAAGTCAGGCGCGCACACAATACGCGTCATAATAGAACTGCGCATGCGCTCCTCTGCAGCTGATCCTGAAACCGTTTATAATCTTTTCTCAAATAGGCAAAAGAGGACGTTGAGACACGAAACTGATCCTGGAACAGTGTTACAATAAACAGCACTTCAGTTAGGATTAATGGTCATTCTCAACAGCAGGATTTTGGAAAATGTAGTTTCAATACATATATATATAAAACAAACAAACTTCAGTAAACATACACTTTAAATTAAGTGTTTCAGTAAAGTCGACTTCCCATTTAAAACACTGTCAGTTGTTGATTTTGTCAATGCGCTAGATGGCGCAGTGCCTGACCTACAATCTCAGCGCGCCGTCAAAGAAGGCGCCGAAGAAGAAAACAGCGCGACCAATGGAGCTGCGGTGGAGAAGAGTAGCGGTCAGCCTCAGAGCCTCTTTCATGGCATAAAACAGCACTTTTCTCCAGGACAGGCATTCGCGGATTATGCAGTAGGTGTTTAACATCTTTTCTAAGCTGTTGATGAGCTATAAACCTGTATAAGTTTAGTGTATTTGTGTTCAGAAGTCCAGAAACGTGATGATGGTCGAGGCCGCGCAGCTGCAGGAGTCTCTTGAGTAGCCTTGATTTATTCAATTAGTCTATTTAAAATATGTTATGTTAAGAAACTCGTAAATTTGATTTGTGTTCTGACTTCACCTTTCATCGCTTTGGTTGCGTTGCACAAAATCTAACCTGCTCCTAATGGCTGTATCTCAAATACTAGTGAGTCCACTAACTTGGCAGCATTAATTGAACAACGTCAGAGTTTGAATGCGGACGCGAAAGTTTCATTCACTACGCGAAAATTAACGGGGTATTTCACCCGAAAATAAAACTTTTCATCATCATTTAATCTCATTGAAGTAGTGCTAAACTTTGATGATTGTCTTTTCTTGACAAAACAAGATATTTTAAACATTTTGGGGTAAAAAAAACAGACATTTACATTTGTCGTAGGAACAAAAATACCAGATGTAAAAGTTTGTATATTTACAGGTATATTGTAAATAAGACCTAACCTATCAAGTGTGTACATAGAGTAAGCAAAAACCACACAGGGATATAAGTAAAACACTCAAAGTACGCTCTAAAAATAGAAAAATAATTATTTTGAGCTTAAACATTGAGGTAAAGTTGGTTTAATATTCGCACATTCATTCATCTTTATACTGCGACTATAACTTGCAACACGGTCCTCATATTGTTTAGCACGCTACTTTGAATATTGGGTCTGAAATCGCATGTAATTGTGACGTCAAAACCACTTTATCAGAAATGAATGAAATATTAAAGCTGATATGATTCCCCTGTCATGATATTTATTCATGATTCCCTCCTACAAGTGCTCGATGTTTTGTGTGTATTCTGTGTGTTCTTAAGGAGATGAAGCGTGTCCGGACGGAGCAGATCCAGTATGCGGTGACGCAGTACCTGAAGAGGAGACAGTATATTGACACTGATGGATCAATGAAAGGAGCAAAACTCTCACAAACCGCTGAGGAGATGGCGGCCAGTCTGACAGGTAAATAAACCAAATTATTTATATTAAATCTCCTGTGATTTTTTTTTTTTACTTCCTCAAATATTTCCCAAATGATGTTTAACAGAGCAAGGATTTTTTCACAGTATTTCCTATAATATTTTTTCATCTGGAGAAAGTCTTATTTAGGCTAGAATAAAAGCAGATTTAATTTTTTAAAATAACATTTTAAGGTCAATATTATTACCACCTTAAAGCAATATTTTGTTTCGATAGTCTACAGAGAAAATCACTGTTATATAATGACTTGCCTAATTAACCTAGTTAAGCCTTTTAATGTCACTTTAAACTGAACACTAGTATCCTGAAAAATATCTAGTCAAACATTATTTACTGTCATCATGGCAAAGATAAAAGAAACCAGTTATTGGGAATAAGTTATTAAAACTATTATGTTTAGAAATGTGTTGAAAAGAAATCTCTCCGTTAAACAGAAATTTGGGAAAATATAAAAGAATTAAATATTTTAACAGGAGGGCTAATGATTGTGACCTAAACTGTGACTGTAAATAATAATGAATTGGGCAGTGCTTATTCCCTGTGTTTCTGACCTGTGCAGTTCAGACGGAGTCGAGTTGTGCCAATGTGGTGTCCGCGGCCCCGTGTCAGGCGGACCCTCAGCAGTACGAAAACCAGTACTCCAGGCTACGCTCCTTCCTGCAGGGTGAGACCAGATCCTCAGACACACCCGGGATGCATGATATTTAATATTCTGATAAGAAATTATGTTTGAAATATTTTTAAAAATATGAATAGTATATTATATTAAAATGCAAACTGATGTTGGCGCAATAGCCTAATGGTTACCGCGCCAACATATGGTGCAGTAGCACATCAGGGAGTCCCAAGTTTGAATCCCGACTCGAGATTCAACATTTCCCTACCTCTCTCTCTCTCTCTCTCTCTCTTCTAACCCCCCCCCCCCCCCCCCAAACTTTGCTTCCTGTCTAAATACTGTCCTATCTAATAAAGGCAAAAAGGCCAAAAGTAGATCTTAAAAAATATATATGTAAATTAATATTAAAATTGACACATAAATTCAATAATAAATATTTAAGTAGTAATTAATATTATTTTAAAATATAAATTCAACATAAAATAAATGTAAAAATATTAATGTTAAAAAAATATGTGTATGTATATATGTATATATATATATATATATATATATATATATATATATATATATATATATATATATATATATATATATATATACATATACATATACATGCACATACACATACACATATACATACAAATACTTACATAAAAACACACACATTTGTCTAGAAGTCAGATAAGGCATTATGTGAATTAATATTAATACTGAAAAGTCCAATTAGAAATTATACTAAAAAAATTAAAAACATTTAAATAATATAACATGAATATATAAATTAATATTTAAATTAAAATCTAAATTCAACAAAATAAATATTATAATGGCAATTCATTTTAAACTATTAATGATATGATTTTTTAAATATAATTTCAACATGAAATAAATATTAAAATAGTAATTAATATAGAATTATTGCTATAATTTTAAAAATATATATTTCAGATAGAAATTCGAAAAGGCAATATTTTAAAAACTCATTTTTTGCAGATTTTTGTTTTGTCAGATTTTCCTAATATATTTCCAATAAGCGGTTGCTTAAATTAAATCTTAAACCAAATCAGACTTGTAATTTACAACTGCAATCACTTATGAAAAATAACTGTAGTGTTTTTGAATTGTACTAAAGTGTATTATGCAGTGTATTATATTATTATTGTTGTATATTAAATTATATGTGCATAGCATTATTTATTTGTATATTATGTTGTATGTTTGTTATATATTATACATGTAGATAACTGCGTTATTGCAGGGCAGGCTCATAATTAACTCCATTGCTTCCATTCAATGTATCAAACAGTCTGACACTATGATCATCTTTAAAGCACACTGTCTATCTGAGCTGCTGTGGTTTCATCAGCTCTTCTTTCTGTTGTCAGAGGCTGAAGGGCCTCTGGTAAAGGAGGCGAGCAGCGTCTTGTTCCCGCTCTTCCTCTACCTGCACCTGCACATGGCCCGATGTGGCCTGAAGGGGGCGCTGGACTCGTTCTACAGCCGCTTTCACTCGCTCTTCCAGCAGGACCCTGAACAGAAGGCCATCGTGGACCTGCTGCGAGGAGCCCTCACTCTACAGGTCTGATGCTTTACTGTTAGAAACTTTGTGTCTTGTATATTTAATAATTAAATAATAATACTTTAATAATTTTTAAATATTTTTTTCCACATTTTTCGAGTGCCTTGAGCTGATTTTTGCTTTTTATTCTGATGAATCTCTTACCAAAAGAGCACTGATACATTAATTAAGCTACTCCTGAGCACTTTTTGTTTGATTTTCAATTAGTTTATATTGTTTTAAGCGATTTTTATTTAATTAATTAATTATTTATATTCCATTTCGTCTGATTGAGTTCACAGCATCATTGGATATTTCATTCATTTCTGACATTGCTTTCTTTTTTTTCCTCATCTTGCAGGATGTGACCACAAATCCTAAACTGTGCGCCCTGCTGGACCACAAGTATGTTGTATACCTGACAGATCAAGCGTACAGTTACCTGCTGCGCTACCTGCAGAGTGAAGACAACAGCGCCATCTGCTGGGTGCTCACCGCACATCTGCAGGTATGAGCATCCGGAATAACTCTAAGGCAGGGGTGTCCACACTCGGTCCTGGAGGGCTGGTGTCCTGGGGCCTCATGTACGAAGACTTGCGTGGAAATCATACTAAAACATTGCGTACGCACAAAGCTGTAAATGTGCGTACGCCGAATCTCACGCATATTCTTTTGTACATCTGAATGAACGTGAAACTGAGCGCAACATGCCAAGCGCAAAACCCCTCCCTGCCTCCTCCCCCGTATGAATATGCTAATGACTCTACTTTGGCAAAACCCAACGAAAAAGCAAAGGCAAAAGCAAGCAAGAAGAGAAACTTTGAACAGAATGTGAATTGGAGGTGCTGCTTTCGGAGGTAAACCGGAGGAAAACTGTGTTATTTGCAAGTTTGTTCTCCGGAATTAACAACAAAAGAAAAAAATAGAGTGGGAGAGTTTAGCTGATGCGGTTAACACAGTTGGGTCTGAACATCGCACTGAGTGAATTAAAAAAGAAATAGTGTGATTTATAGGTGTAAAATGTTGTAGCACCTTTAACAGTCTCAGTGGCGCAGCTCGTAACACGCATGTCAACATGTTTTGACATGTTCGAGCATGAACTCGGTTCGAATCCAGCGTCTGATCAACTCTTTCTTCTCCCCCCCGCTACATACCAGATTTTGCCTACTATTTATCACGAGAAAGACAAGTAGGAATCATTAATAAGTTTGTGCATCATATTTTATTTGCACATTTATTGAATGGAAATGTTTCTGATTCACGCATGCAAATTCATCTTCAGATAGTGTCTTTATAGCAATGTGTGTGCAGTAGATCGCTCAGATTACATTGGGAAAACAGGCGACGCTGCAAATTGCGCTTTAATGTTTAGCTGGTCAACTGTATGGTATGGAAACCTTATATACCTGCTAGATGAACCCGTCTCATACAGCTGCCATTGCAAGGCTTAGACACTTTGTAGAGAGGAATTTAACACAACTGCCTCTAGGAGACGCCAATGGAAATAAAACAGACGCGCACAAAAAATTTGCGTACGCCTGCCATGAAGCTGCCGTGAAACTGCGCACATTCCCACGTTCAGTTCATCGTTAGTAAATCCAAACGTGAGCGATTCTGAGCGTGAAACCTGGCGTACGCAAAGTTTTTGTGCGTACGCAGCGTTGATACATGAGGCCCCTGGACTGTAAAATTGCATTAAAAAAAATTCACAAAAATGCGAGACAACGAAAAGTGAACTGCATTATAGTGAGAGACTACAGTAAATGCACAAATCTAACACTGTAAAACTTCCTTTAGACAATATTAATCTAAATGAGAGATCTGTCAGGGGTTTACTCGTATACGTTAAAGCTTTGTTTGTAGAATAGCAGTGCTAACTTTGTTCAGAGCGGTGAAGCTAAACAGCTAAAGACCTATGCGGCGGCCTTTTTTCAGAACTGAAAAGGTAAAGTGTTTGGCTGCTGTTTTTCCAGCACTTATGTATTTCTTGTAATCACTTTAATGCCTGTGTTTAATCAGGTGGAGGTGACGGCAGCGCAGAGAACCGACTATCAGCTGTACGGTGCAGGGGTCGGCACAGGAAACACCAGCTCTTCTTCTTCCTCCACATGGGCATCAGTGGACGGTTCAGAAGGAGCGGAGCGGCTGGAGGTGCCCGCAGGTTTACCGCAGAACGAGGCGGCGCTGGAAAATCTGCAGGACTGTATAAAGCGTGTGCGTGAGGGCCCGCCGTCGCTCACCACCGTCTGCTTCTACGCCTTCCAGCACACGGAGCAGCTGCTGAACACTGCTGAGGTGTCGGCAGACAGTCGCCTGCTGGCGGCCGGCTTCGATAACTCTGCAGTGAAGCTCTGGAGTCTGAGGGCCCGCAAGCTGAAGGCAGGACCACACAGAGCCGACGTGTCCAAGATCAGACTGGCCTGTGACGTGCTGGAGGAGGAGGTGAGGGAACTCTGGCAGACGCACTCATTTTGATGAGCTGAGGGGGTATATACATTTGAAGGCAGAATTGTTAGCCCTCCTAAATTATGAGCCTCAATTTCTGTTCAACGCAAAGACGATTATTGGGGAAACAATAAACAGGTGGCTTATAATTAAGGAGGGTTAATTGTTCAACTTCACTGACTTTTTAAAAAATAAATATTTAAATTTTTCCCCTCAGGCGGATGACGAGGACGCCTCAGGCAGTGAGATAAAGACTCTTCGTGGACACAGTGGTCCTGTGTACCGCACAGCCTTCCTGACGGATGCCTCTGGCCTGCTGTCCTGCTCGGAGGACTCCACAGTTCGCTACTGGGACCTCAAGAGTTTCACAAACACCGTCCTGTACCGCGGTCATGCTTACCCTGTATGGGATGTAGACGTGAGTCCCTGCAGCCTGTATTTCTCCACAGCATCCCACGACCGCACCGCTCGCCTGTGGAGCTTCGCGCGCACGTATCCGCTCCGTCTGTACGCCGGCCACCTCTCGGACGTCGACTGTGTTAAGTTCCACCCAAACTCTAATTATATTGCGACGGGTTCGACTGATAAAACTGTACGCCTGTGGAGCACCCAGCAGGGGGCGTCTGTAAGGCTGTTCACTGGGCACCGCGGACCCGTCCTGACGCTCGCTTTTTCACCAAACGGAAAGTATTTAGCATCTGCCGGAGAGGATCAAAGGTTGAAACTGTGGGATCTGGCATCTGGGGGCTTGTTTAAGGATCTGCGTGGACACACCGACACCATCAGCAGCCTCTCCTTTAGCCAGGACAGCAGTTTAGTGGCGTCTGCGTCTATGGACAACACTGTGCGTGTGTGGGACATTCGCAATGCTCATGGCTCCGCCCCCACCGACGGCTGCAGCAGCGAGCTGATTGGACAGTACACCGGCAGCACTAGTAACATTCTCAATGTGCAGTTCATGGCCTGTAACCTGCTGCTGGTGACGGGAACAGCCATGGAGAAGCAGGAGCAGTGAGCAGGAACTCTCCTCTAGGTCATATTTCACATCAAAATTACAAATATGTTTACTTCACCTAAATGAAAATATGCCATTAAAGTCATGATCACTTAAAAGGGAAAATTCTGTCCTCATATGCTGCTCCTCAAAGTCTAAACCTTCTAGATCTTCTGAGCATTCTAGATCTACCAAATGTTCTAGATCTTTTAAACCTTTTAGATCTTCTGAGCATTCTAGATATTCTCAGCGTTCTCGACCTTCTGAACATTCTAGATCTTCTAAACGTTCTATATCTTCTGAGCATTTTAGATCTACTGAATCTTCTGGATCTTCTGAACGTTTTAAACCTGCTGAGGGTTTTAGATCCTTCAAATGATCTAAATCTTCTGAATCTTCTAAGTTTTCTGAGTATTCTAGATCTTCTGAATCTTCTAAACCTGCTGAGTGTTTTAGATCTTCCAAACTTTCTAGATCTTTCCAACGTTCTCAGATCTTTGGAGCGTTCTAGATCTTCTAAACATTCTAAATCTGCTGAACGTTCTAGATCTTTTAAACATCTTCCAAACATTCTAAACCCGCTAAATCTTCTAAATGTTATAAATCTTCTAAATGTTATAGAACTTCTATATCTTTTGACATTCTAAATCTGCTGAATGTTCTAATTCGTCTAGAGGTTCTAGATCAGGGGTGTCCAAACTCGGTCCTGGAGGGCCGGTGTCCTGCTGAGTTTAGCTCCAACTTGCTTCAACACAGCTGCCAGCAATTTCTAGTATATCTAGTAAGAGCTTGATTAGCTGCTTCAGGTGTTCAGGGTTTGATTAGGGTTGGAGCTAAACTCTCTAGGACACCGGCCCTCCAGGACCGAGTTTGGACACCCCTGTTTTAGATCTTCTAAACGTTCTAGATCTGCTGAATGGTCTATATCATCTAAAGGTGGTAGATCTTCTGAACATTCTAAATCTGATGAACGTTCTAGATCTTCTAAAGATTCTAGATCTTTTAAATGTTCTAGATCTTCTGAACGTTCTAAATCTGCCTAACATTCTAGATCTTCTAAACGTTCTTGGTCTTTTAAATGTTCTAGATCTTCTAAATGTTCTAGATTTTTCTAAACATTCTAGATCTTCTAAATGTTCTAGATCTTCTAAAGGTTCTTTATCTTCTGAACATTGTAAATCTGCTGAATGTTCTAAATATTCTAAAGGTTCTAAGACTGCTGAACGTTCTAGATCTTCTAAACATTCTAGATCTGGTGAACTTTCTAGATCTTCTAAAGGTTCTAGATCTTCTAAACATTCTAAATCTGCTAAACATTCTAGATCTTCTAAATGTTCTAGATCTTCTAAATATTCTAAATCTAAAACTGTGTTTCTTTTTATTTTTGAACACAAATGAAGATATGGAAAAAAAATAAATAAGCATCCACTTCTATAGCAATTTTTGTTCCTACTATGGTAGTTGATGGCTACGATTTTGGAACATTCTTCAGAATATCTTCCTGTGTGTTCAACAGATGAACGACATTCATCAAAGTATTTGGGTAGACTGTCCCTTTAAGACCATTTTAGAATGTGCTCGATCCAAAAGTTCTCGTTGCTGTAATGCAGAAGATGAAGCAGGATGCTGTTTGAATTGTGAAGTATTTATCTGGGTAATATTTGTTTACTTTAGATGGATAATTAATAAGTTTAGTATATCTGGATCTTTTCAGTAATAAAATACGTTTTTGTAAATTTCGTTATTGTGAATGTGGCAAAAAAAGCTTAATGTATAAGTTTGTGTCAATTTAGATTTAAATGGTTTTTAAATTAAATATGCAGTGAAGTAATTATAGGTATTGCAGTATGGACTATTGGTTATAAGTATGTTTAAATATTATAATCCAATCAATCTTAGTAAGACATAACAGGCTTGGTTTTCTTTGAGGAAAAATCTAAATTTTTTTGTGAAATATGACCTGAGATTTGTGAGAATTCAGCAATGTTTAAATCTCTTCTTCCTCTGGTCATTACCATGGATGTTGAATCCTTGTCATGAGGTCAGAAGTGCAGCCTGCTGCTTCCGTCTGGATGTAAAATCTACAAATATATATTTTGTGGAGAAAAATGTTAGGTCACTGTTTTCATCTCTGGATCATTTGTTTTCAGGTCTGTTAGTTTTGCTGTATCATTTCTATTGTTGTATGTGTTTGCCCACATTCATAATGTAGTGAAGACGCTGTTATCCTGCAGGCCTTGGCTTTTCACAAGGAAGCCTGATAATCTGGATTCATCTTACTTACAGGTGAAAAACAGTCCTCAGAGGAAGTAATCTAGTATCCGAGTCCACTAGCAGTCAATGGAAGTACATTTAGTTTAGCTTGAAGGGACCGTTTAACATTTCCTGATCGTTTATTTCCTCGCGCTCAAGTGGTTCTGAATGTTTATGAAAGTCTTCTGTTGAACACAAATCAAGATATTCTGAAGAATGATGGGGAAAACAGCCATTGACATCCATTGTTGAAATAAAAAATACTGTTTTGTTAAACGAAGTGGCTGTTTAATCTTCTGTATGTCTTTTGTGTCCAACAGAAGAAGGAAACTCAAACAGGTTTGGATGTCAGTAAATAATAGCAGATTTGTTTATTGAGTGAACTGTCCCTTTAAAGATCAGTGTAGATTGCAGTTTTGTGCTGAATAGATGCACTTGAATGTGATTTGTACACCCCTGCACTTAGCCTTTACCCAGAACTTTGTTTTCAGTATAAGTAATGTGATGTTTATCTGGAATAGAGAAGAAAAATAATGCTTTTGTATCATTTGCTTCCAAAAACAAGGTGTTTTTGCATCGACATGTAAATATATTTTTCCAACATTTGACTACTGAATTATGTTCTTAATCATTCCGGTACTAAAATACCTTAAATATGGCAATGTTCAATAATTATGGTGGTGATAGTCAGACACGATTGAAATCTTGGGTGTTTAAAAACAAACATCCCTTACTCGTATGTAGAGAAAGAGTTGTGTTTACTGAACTCCTGGATCAGATATTGGAATGTTTAGTGAATGGATGGAAAATTGTTTGCAAAATCTTCACAAAAATACATGTTGTTTTGATATTTATTTGCTAAATGCAAAAAGGCTTTAAAAAACAAAAGACTTTGGGCCTACTCACACTATGCCATCTGTACCGTGCCCAGGCCCGTTTCCCGGATCGTTTGAGAAGTGTGAGTGCGCTTAATCGGGCTCAAGCACGGTTCACTTGGCCGGCCCTGGCCCGGTTGGAAGAGGTGGGCCTGAGCGCGGTTCACTTAAGGCTTTGGCACGGTACGCTTGTGTGTGAGTGCAAAACGCGCCAAAGCCTGAAACTGAAGAACCAGAAACGTGGAACCAGACGTGACTTTTAAGGGGCTGATTCATATGGATTTATTAATCATTCTTACTGTTCAATGAACGCAAACTGCCGTAGTTTATTAAAGACGAGAACTCCTCACAGCACGACAGCTGCGCGGCTTCAGCAGACCTCATTCCTGCAGCACGAGAGCTTTATGATTATGAGCGCCAAAAGTGGCTGATCTGTTCGGCGAAATATCTGACTGCGTGTCACCGCATCCCTAAGGACTGTTTGGCGAAATGTCTGACTGCATGTCACTGCAAATCAAACGACTGAAACGATATAACTAGAGAAATCTCCACTGAGCTGCTGAGTGAGAGAGAGCGCTTCTCACTGAACAGCGCAGCAGCGATGACGTAAGCGTGCCGAGGCCCATTTGTGGTGTGAGTGCGGGCCGTCAGGGGAGACAGGAGGGGGGACAAGCGTGCTTTGGCCCGGTTCGAGGCAACTGTACGGTGTGAGTACGGCCTTTGTTAATACAATGTATAGTATGGGAACACACTACCTGAGAAGAGTCTTGTTGACAATCCCAGTTAAAAGAGCAACAATAATAACTGGACTTGTAGTTGCTCATTTGAAAAAGTGGCAGAAGGTGGATTTTTTTTATGATGAATCATCTGTTGATCTGCATCCCAATCACAAATACTGCAGAAGACCTACTGGAACCCGCAAGGAGCCAAGATTCTCAGAGAAATCAGTCAAGTTTGGTGAAGGAAAAATCATGGTTTGGGGTTACATTCAGTATGGGCAACTTCAACAGCCTGAGGTATCAAGACATTTGTGCTGCCCTCTGCAGATCTCTAGCACGCCCCATACTGAATCTTAACCCCAAACCATGATTTTTCCTTCACCAAACTTGACTGATTACTCTGAGAATCTTGGCTCCATGCTGGTTCCAGTAGGTCTTCTGCAGTATTTGTGATGATTCATCAGAAAAATCCACCTTCAGCCACTTTTCCAAATGATCAACTAGAAGTCAAGTTATTATTTGTTGCTCTTAAATTAGGATTGACGACAAGACTAGTGTAGTATAACAAATCTGTACGCTAAATATTTTAATTTATTATATCTGTTAAAGCTTGGTTGATAAGCTGATAATCCGCCACAGTAAAAGCTTCAACAATTAATCTCAACAAGGACAAAAAGTCTGGTATCGCTTTAAACATTTCATTGATTCACTTCATTTTAAATAAAGGTAAGTGATTGAAAACAATTCATAAGGGCTGAATTTAAACAAATTAAATGTAGGAATGTTCAACTTAATTTCTTTGTTTAAATTCAGCGCATATAAATCGTTTGCAACCACTTACCTGAAAAAAAACTGAGTAAATCCAATGATTCATTTCTTTACAGTGTAATACCATAGTAAAAACCGTCCACACACACACACACACACAGGCGTGGCTGCTTTCACCCAAAACCAGTTCTGCACCTAATGGGCGGGTCATCAACCTGACAAGCCTGTCCTGTTGGCCGGTGTATGTGAGTTTACATCTCTCACACTCACTCTCACACACAGTCTGTCATCCAGAGGCTCGTCTCAGTGTGTTTTAATTCTCGAGTTGTAGATTTGAAGATGCCCTACAGCGTGACTCTGCCGGGCAGCTCAGGACAGACGGCTGTAGTGGAGAGCACACAGGCTGATGGCAAGACATACGAGCAGCTGCGGAGGGAATGTTTGGAGAAGGGGAAGCTGTTCGAGGATCCAGACTTCCCTGCGGTGGACGGCTCGCTCTTCTACAGCCAGAGGGTCCCGGTTAACTTTGAATGGAAGCGGCCCGGGGTGAGTGATGATGTTCAGGAAGCCTGTGCAAACAGTACAGTATGTGCAAGAAAAGTTTCCCACTTGGAGTTTCTGTCTTGTTTGTAGTCCAAATATCTAAAAATAGGCCTGTGAAAAGTCTAGTTGTGTTTTCAGAAATGATGAGAATTTCATTGAAACATGCAAAATAATCTGCTAATGTGGTGAGCAGAGTAAACAAATTTTAAACAAGATTATTTTTCTTACCCCATGGGGGATTATTTAGGTTTTTTCAAGGGAAAACGCCCTATGATTTTGGCATTTTTCTGCTTTTTTTTACTTGTCTAGAAAATGCTTTTTGATTTAAGGGAAGTTTTACAAACTAATTTAATAATAATAATAATAATTCCTTACATTTATATAGCGCTTTTCTGGGCACTCAAAGCGCTTCACACACAATAGGGGAATCTCCTCATCCACCACCAGTGTGCAGCATCCACCTGGATGACGTGACGGCAGCCATTTTGTGCCAGACCGCACACCACACACCAGCTGATTGGTGGAGAGGAGTCAGCGATGAAGCCAATTGGAATATGGGGAGGGTTAGGAGGCCATGATGGACAAAGGCCAGTGGGCAGATTTGGCCAGGATGCCAGGGTTAAACCCCTACTCTTTTCGAAGGACATCCTGGGATTTTTAACGACCACAGAGAGTCGGGACCTCGGTTTAACGTCTCATCCGAAAGACGGATGAAAAACTTGACGCATTTAATCTAATCTAATTTAGATAGAGGCATGTGATATGATTGATCACGGCTGGTCTCTCATCCGTAATCAGCGATAATCCAATCAGATTGATTCAAGCCTACAATAAACAGACCGATTTCACCCTACTGAAACTGCGGTCACACTTGACTTTTCTCCCCATCGACTTCCATTCATATGCATGCAAATGCATCAGACTGGAATCGCAGGGCCGTCAAGTTCATGCGTCAAGTTTCGCCGGTTGCCGCGGTGCAAAGTTCAAACTTGGTGAACTTTGGCCTGCAAAATCGCCTCACTTGACTGCGTGAGACCAATCAAGGATCAAAACATGACCTCTCTGGACAGAAACCTGGAGCAATCGCTCGCTTTTTTTAATGTCTAATCATCTTGTTTAATCCCGCCCCTTTTTGCAGTGCCGTACGACAGAATTTCGCGCACACAAACTCTAGTGTGACCGCAGTTTGATTTATCTTCATTTTAGAAGAATCCCCCTGTTCGCCCCATCTCCTCCCTTTCCTCTTTTACCAGGGGGAGCTCTCGAGACCTACCTGACCTCCGCCCCCCTTACATGCTCATTGACTTTTTGGGCTCAATTATCTCAGAGCTCAGGGTTCCCACCCTGTAGAGCATGCTAAACCAGCTAAAAGCATCAAGTAATATCTAAGTGTGAAATCTTGGAGCATATTTAGATACCTGAGCTAGAAAGGAGACATAAAAATTCCAAGAAAAACATCAGAATTTTGCCAAAACCCATGTGAAAAAAAGCAATCTATAGTCATTTATGGTAAATACTAACGCATTTGAACCATTCCACAGCAATGTGTATTATATATTGTAGTGTTTAACACACTTAATGCATGCTGCATCATATTGTAGTATCATCATACTGTAGTACAGTGTTTCTCAACCACCTTCCTGGAGGACCACCAGCACTGCATGTTTCTGATGTCTCCTTTGTCTGTCGCACCCATTACAGGTCTTTCAGTCTCTGCTAATGAGCTGATGATCTGAATCGGGTGTGTTTGTTTAAGGAGACACGGGAAATGTGCAGAGCTGGTGGTCCTCTAGTATCATGGTTGAGAAACACTGCTGTAGTATCATCATTCTGTAGTATCAAGTGATAAACTGTAATACTGTAACACACTTTAGTTTTTACTGCAGTAAGCTGTGGTGCATTGTAGTATAATTTACTCTGTAGTTTTAGAAAACTTCAGTGTTGGCAAAGTAAATTACTAAACACTCAAAAATACTCATGTTGTTCGTTCAAACTAATTTGAAATGAGTTCATTCATTCATTCATTTATTCATTTTCCTTTGGCTTAGTCTCTTATTAATCAGGGATCACCACAGCCCAATGAACCGCCAACTATTTCAGCATATGTTTTACACAGTAGATGCCCTTCCTGCTGCAACCCAGTACCGGGAAACACCCATACACTCACATTTACATACACACACACTTACTATGGCCAATTTGGTTTATCCTATTCCCTATAGCGCATGTGTTTGGACTGTGGGGTAAACCGGAGCACCAAAAGGAAACCCACGCCAACACAGGGAGAGCATGCAAACTCCACAGAAATGCCAACTGACCCAGCAGGGACTTGAACCAGCAACCTTGGTGTGAGACAACAGTGCTAACCACTGAGCCACAGAGAATACAAGTCGATTTGAAAAAAACAAAAACGTCTTAAGACAAAAAGGAGATGCGAATGAATCAAATAAA